ACACCATTATACACGGTCTTTACCCAATTGTATATTCTTTTTTATATATAAATATATTTTTATTGATTTTAGAGAGAGAGAAAAAGAGAGGAACATCAGCTGCCTCCTGCACACCCCCTACTATGAATCAAGCCCAAAACCTGGGCACATGCCCTGACAACGAACCAAACTGGTGACCTCTTGGTGTATAGGATGACACTCAATCAACTGAGTCACACCAGCCAGGGCCCCATTGTATATTCTTGCCTCCTTTGTCATATATTAATTGACTGTATAGAAGTAGGTTTATTTCTGGGCTATTTTGTTCCACATATGTCTGTTTTTATGCCAGTATCATGCTGTTTTTATTACTACAGTCTTGTAGTATGGTTAGATGTTAAGTAGCATGATACCTTCAACTTTATTCTCCTTTCTCAAGATTGCTGTGGATATTCAGGGTATTTTGTGGTTCCATAGAACCTTTTGAATTACTAGTTCTAGCTCCATAAAAAATGCCATTGTTATTTTGATAGGGATTGCACAGAATCTATAGATTGCTTTGGGTAGTGTGAACATTAATTATTCCTATCTTAGAGCATGGCATATGCTTCCATTTATTTGTATCTTCAATTATTTTCTTTAATGTCTTATAATTTTCTGAGTACAGGTCTTTTCCTTTCTTGGTTAAATATATTCCCAGGTATTTTATATTTTGATGCAATTATAAATAGGATTGTTTTCTTAATTTCTCTTTCTGATAGTTCATTGTTAGACATATACACACCTATCTTTTAAAAAACTGATACCTCTATTTTATTTTTTTTTTATTACAGTTTGCATTCAACACTTTGTTTTAGTTTCAGGTATATAGCACAGACAGACATTCATATAGTTTACAAAGTGTTTTCTTTGATAATTCAAGTGCCCACCTGGCACCATAAATAGTTATTACAATATTGTTAACTACATTCCCTATGCTTTACCTTATATCCCCATGCCTATTTTGTAACTACCAATTAGTACTTCTCAATCCCAACACCTTTTTATGCCCTGTCCTCCAACACCCCTTCCCTGTGGCTCCCATCAGTTTGCTCTCTGCATCTATAAGTCTGTTTCTATTTTGTTTGTTCATTTATTTTGTTCTTTAGAGTCCATGTATAAGTGATATAATATTGTATTTGTCTTTATCTGACTTATTTCAGTTAGCATAATACTGTCTAAGTCTATCCATGCTGTCACAAGTGGTAAGATTTCATTTATTTTTATGGCTAAGTAATATTCCATTGCATATATGTACACCACAGCTGCTTTATCCATTTGTTTATTGATGGATACTTGGGGTGTTGGGGTGTTTTCATATCTTGGCTATTATAAATAATGCTGCAATGAACATAGGGGTGCATATATCTTTTTTGAATTAGTGTTTTGGGTTTCTTTATACACATTCCCAGAAGTGGAATCGCTGGATCATAAGGCAGTTCTATTTTTAACTTTTTGAGGAACCTTCACACTGTTTTCCATAGTGTCTGCACCAATCTGCATTCCCACCAACAGTGCACAAGAGTTCCCTTTTCTCCACATCCTCACCAACACTTGATTTATTGATGATAGCCATTCTGATAGGTATGAAGTGATTATCTCACTCTGGTTTTGATTTGCACTTCTCCAATGATTAGAGAGGTTGAGCATATTTTCAAAGGTCTACTGGCCATTTGTATATCCTCTTTGGAGAAATGTGCATTCAGTTCTTCTGCCTACTTTTTAACTGAGTTAAAATGGGTAACTTTTAATCCTTTTGTAACTCATCTCTTCAGGGATTTTATGTATTTTAACATGGACTTACAAAGTTTCCTTTTTTACTAACCAAACTTGAGGGCAAGAGTAGAAAGGTGTGGTAACTTAACAGAGAGGGAATGATTTGGGAAGAAATATCAACATTATTATATTGTACTTGAGTATACATACACACACACGTACCACCTCACATTTATTAATCAAGGTAATCTTCAGACCATCTCTATGAGGTAGGGAAATGAGAAGCACAGACCTAAGACAAGGGAAGTCTCATAGCTGAAGACTAAACTCCACTTGCTTTCATTCTGGGGGTAAAGAACATTCTCAAACATAATTCCTCCCAGAACTAGAAAATCCCCTTGGAATTTTATGCTGTTACAGCCCCAGAGTGAGTAGACATCTCAGTCTGGTGTTAATTTGGTTTGTAGAACTATTGAATGGTTCCTAAAAGAATCCTCCTGAGGCAGTTGTAGAAAGGCCTGGTGATGCCCACCACCGTAACTTATGGTTACATTCCAGGAGAAGCAGCCATCTTTGGGCTCTTCCAGATGGCACCTAGACCAGAGGTGGGAGTGAGGTAGGGATGGGGACAGAGAGTAGAAGTGGGTGAGGGGAATGAGGAGAGGTGGCAAGATTGAGTGGAAACTAATGGGACAGAAACACAGTGCAGGGTCCTTTTCTATCCGTCTCAATTCTCACCCTTAAATAGCATTTGCAGTACAGGCTGCGGTGGTCGAACATTCACCAAAAAGGGGGAATGGAGGTGAGGGAGGTAACTGCTCCATAATGGTTGGGCCTGGAGATATCTGCACAGCTTTCCTTCTCACCCCATTTTCCCCAGATGCAGGCCTTCCACGCACACAAAAATTTTTTTCTCACGTTTATCTACCATCTTTCCAAAAATCCCCTTTTAAGCCCACATTTCACACCAGCCACTGTCCATTTTTCTGTTCCACTTCATAGAAAAACCTCTTGAAAGATCTGTCTGCTCACACTCTTTTCTTCCTCACCTCCTATTTACTTTTTAGTCCTCTGTAATTAAGCTTCTGCCCTATATTTTTCTTTCTTTTGTTTTTTTTTTTTTTATCCTCACCCAAGGACACTTCTGCATTCATCTTCAGGTACAGCGGGGGGGGGGGGGGGGGTTCACATCAATGTAACAGAGACACATTGACTGGTTGCCACCCACACGACCCCAACCAGGGCTGGGGACAAACTGCAAGCAAGGTACGTGCCCTTAGTGGGAATCAAACCCATGACTCTCTGGTCCACTCGTGGATGCTCCAATCGCTGAGCCAAACTGGCCAGGGCCTGCCCTATTTTTTTATTGTATCTGCTTTTGTCAAGTTACATTAGGCCTCCATGTGGCCAAATCCAATGGCTTTTGTTTAGTTTTCATCTTTCTACAGTTTCTAACCAACCCCTCCTGCTTGAAACACTCCCCTCGCATAGCTTCCCTGACACTACACCCTCCTGGTTTCCGTCCTGCCTCCAGCAGCTCCTTCAGAGTCTCTGTTGCTATCTTCTCCTTTACCCAACTTCTGAATATGGAGTTTCCTAAATCTGTTCTCTCTGCTCCTAGTTCTCTTTTATAGCAACGCTTCTCCCTACTCATCTGCTCCTGTGGCTTTCAATGCCACCTATGTGCTGTTGATGCCCACATTTATATTTTTAGTTCAGAACCTTCCTCTAGCCTCTTCAGATGCTTCCTAAATATCTTACCCAAAATCTGACCACAGCCTTGCCCCTTAAAAAATTACTTCCTCCTTCAGGCAGTCTTCTCCATCTTGAAGGCCATCACTCTCAGTGTTGTATGAAAGGAGAGAAAGTTAACACTCGCCTTGACAAGAACGGTAGAGGTTCTCGGCCCTAACAACATGCCTACACTTAAGGCATTGCCACCTATTTAAATGCCATGACTCTCCACACAGGTAGTCAAGTCAGAAACCTAGCAGGCAGTTTGCTTTTTCCATTTTACTCACCCCATTCTATATCCAGCAAGACCTTTGGATCTGTCTCCAAAATATATAGAATTTATGCCTTTTATCCATCCATACTACCAACTTCCTTAGCCAAGCCACCTGTAAAAGCCTCACTGGTCTCTCTGCTTCTATTCCCCTCCCCCCCCTAAAACTTAGTCTCTAATCATCAGCTAGAGTGATCTTTTTTTTTTTTTTAACTAAATGGATCATGTCTCTCTCCTGTTAAAATTCTTCAACGTTTACCTTTACTAGTGTCAACAAGGCCCTACACGATCTGCCCCTGCTCCATCTTCAGTCTCTTTTACTGTCCTTTCGTCTTGACTCATCATGGTTGAGCCACATGGCCCTGATGTTTCCTAGAACATATATCACTCTTTCCCACCTCAGGGCCTCAGTAGACTGCCTTTCTCCCTTTCTCCCATGCCATCTCCCACTATCCATCTCATCTTAAATACCATCTCCTGAGAGAGGCCTTTTCTAACCACACTAATTAAAACAGTACCACCCTAACTCTCTATAACACCATAGACCACTATATATTTCCTTTTATCACTTATACTCTTAATTATTATGTTTCTTCCCTTTTTTAAAAAAATATTTTTATTGATTTCTTAGAGAGGAAGGGAGATGGGGAGAGAGATAGAAACATCAATGAGAAAGAAACATTGATTGGCTGCCTCCTGCCAGTGATGGAGCCCACAGCCTGGGCATGTGCCCTGACCAGGAATCGAACCAGTGACTTCTTGGTGCATGGAATGATGCTCAATCCACTGATGTGCGGGAGGTAACCAGTCAATGTGTCTTTCTCACATCGATTTCTCTCTCTTTCTCTCTCTCCCTCCTTCTCTCCCTTCCTCCCTCCCTCCCTCCCAATCTGAAGATCAATGGAAAACATATCTTTGGGTGAGGATTAAAAAAAAAAAAAAGATTTTTAAAATTGATTTTTAGAGAGAAAGGGAGAGGAGAGAGGGAACATCAATGTGAGAGCAAAACATTGATTGGCTGCCTCACTCCCTACCAGGGATTGAGCCCACAACCTGGGCATGTGCCCTGACCAAGAACCAAACTGGAAACATTTTGGTGCATGGGACGACGCTCAATCAACTGAGACACAATAGTCAGGGCTTGTTTGTTTTCTTAATTAACTTTCTTAACTGCATCTTTCTTAACCCCATTAGAATAAGCTCTTTCTTATTTTCAAATCAGGCACTCAATATATTACCTAACGAGTGAATGAACAATTACCTTTAATATAGCTGTCATGAAGACTGAGCAGCCCATCAGCACAAAAATCATAAGGCCTGTCACTCTCTGTTCTCGGATGCCTAAGAACTTGGGTTGTTCTCCAGGAGCAGAGCACTCAGATTCCAGTTTGAGGCTGTTCACATGTGTGATGGACAGGACAGTTGCAGCCACAAACCAGGGCAGGCCCATGATGGAGCAGACACCCAGCATGATGGCCACCATTAGCAGGTCCAGGTGGTAACCACAGCCTTTCTGTGGGGAAACAGAGTCTCCGTCACCATCAGTCGGGCATAGAAGAATGAGCTAAGAGTATTCCAGCCCTCCTGGTTTGGAGGGAACAGAGAAGAAAAAGAGAAACTTTAGCCTGTCCAAAATTGCCAATAACCATTCTTTATGCAATTGTCCCCAGATCTCACTCTGAGTCTCACACATTCAAATTCATCCTTTCTTGGCAGCATAACCAGAGATCTAGCCACATCTTGACCATTCTAGATGGTAGACAATATAGAGGTTGAAGGTAAATGTCCTACACACACCCCCAGATCTCTGCCAAATATGCATGTTGCCTACTCTGAGTAAGAAAAGAACAGAGATGAACGCATGGAGCCTCTCACTAATACATGCACTGGAACCAACCCTACACCTTTGTAGGATCCTTGGTCTTAAGGCTCAGTCTGGAAACTCCAGTAATGAATAGCAATGAGAGAATACCTGCCTCTAGGAAACTGTGGCCCAACCTCAGGAAGATAAGCCTAACCCAGAGCATGGGGCTATATAAGGACCACCAGGAATTTACCTGACCACTTCTCCCATAGATTTGAATGGAGAGTGACGGAGGCCAAGCTTTTGTATCATATCGTCATGCTCCACTCTAGGGATTGGAAACCCCTAGAAACCACTTCTGAGCTTCTTCTGTGACTTCTTTTATCCAGATTCTACAGTTCCTAGTCTAAATGGGTTTATCCTAAATTTAAAAAATATATATAACAGGATGATGCCATTAATCCTTCTAGGTCAGAATTTCTTGTTACCTTGAGCTTGTGTTCCTTCCTGTTAATGATAACAGCTGTGATCTGCTGGTCCATGAATATTAAGATAGTGCAGAGTAGAGCCGGGATAATTGCAGCTATCACAGTCCACCAGGGATTGGGGCCAATGGGACTAATAATCCACCCTCGATCATCCCTTGTTGGCTAAAGGAAAAAACAAGATTTTATTTTTGTATTTTAAGTTAACTATAGTCATTTAATTTTTTCCTTCAATCCTCACCTGAGGATATTTTTCTATTTATCCAGATAGAGTGGGAGGGAGGGAGAGAGAGGGAAAAAGAGAAAAACATTGATGTGAGAGGGACACATTGACTGGTTGCCTCCCACATGACCCTAACAAGGGCTGGGGACAAACCACAACTGAGGTACGTGTCTTTGACCAGAATCAAACCTGCTACTCATTGGTCTGAGGGTGTAAAAATTTCGCTTGCCTGATTATCTGCACCTGCATACATATATGCTTCCTTATCTTCAATTACACTCAAATTGTATTCTATTTAATTTTTTTTTCTTTATTGATTTTTTGAGAGAAGGGAAAGGAGAGGGAGAGAGAGGTGGAAATATTGATGAGAGAGAACATCGAATGGGTGCCTCCAGCATGCCCCCCACTGGGGAACAGGCCCACAACCTGGGCATGTGCCCTGACTGAGAATTGAACTGGTGACCTCTTGGTGCATGGGTTGACGCTCAACCACTAAGCCACACCAGTGGGTTCGTGAGTCTATTTAAAGCCAGCCTAGAGCCAGCTGCTGTGGCTCAGTGGTTGAGCATCCACCCATGCACCAAGAGGTTGCTGGTTCAATTCCTGGTCAGGACACATGGTTGTGGGCCTGATCCCCAGTGGGTACCAAGTACCCAGAGATCTGTTTACCTTGAACACACTGGGAACTTGAAGCTTTGGTGATGGGACTCCAATCAAAAAATCAATAATCACCATAGTGAAGATCGTGAGGAAAACAGCAAAGTCACTAACCATGGAGCGTACCTGGCATACAAATGGATTAGAAAAGTGTTTTAGTATGTTGAATACAGTAGAAGAAAATTTAATATTGTAAATGGTTTTAAAATCCTCAGAAGAATGTTTTAATTTTATACTTAAATTAATACAAGAAAATTTAAACAACAGGAATATGTTAATATGCCCAAGTTAATGCCTCCATCAAAGCCCTGAAATGGTTGCTCATTTCACTGAGTTAAAAACCCAAAGGGCCTTCTTGGTCTATGAGGCCCCCCACATACTGGCATCATTACCTCTCTGACCTCAGCTCTTAATGTTCTCCCTCTCGCTCATTCTGTTCCAGCCCACAGTCCTCCTTGTTGTTTCTTAAACATGCCAGACTCACTCCCACCGGAGAGTCTTTGTACTTGCTCATCCCTCTACTCTGAATGTATTTTCTCCAGTAATCTTTTGGGTTGCTCCTTTACTTCCTTCATGCTCACTCAAATAACACTTTCTCCATGAGATCTTCTCTGATGACCCTACTTGAAATTGGTGGCCTCCCCAACCCCAGCAATTCTTCTACTACTTTCCTACTTTATATTTCTTCATAGCGCTTATCACTATTTTGTTCCTAAGACTACCCCACTTCATAGTTTAGTGTAACTTTAATAAAACGCAATGCCTTTGAAATTCTCAGTGCCTGTCTTAAGCAGAGCTTCCAACAGAGATAGAGCAAAATATATCTCAGCTACATTTGACATCACTAATACCTGAACCTGACTTTGCTTTCATTTGAAATGTGAACTTTCCAGCTCCCCTTCCCTGGTTTTGTTGGTTCTACTCTGAATGTTACTTAAATTCTCTGAACATGTGGCTATCCCCACCATGAAGCCCATCTTGACCATCCTGGGGCCCAGCGGCTCTTCTCTCCTCTGAACTCCCATGGCACTTATATCCTAGGCTGGCATTCAACTTTAAAAAAAAAAAATTATTTATTTATTTTTGTTACAGAAGTTTCTCCTTTTCCCCCCACTGATTCGCGCCGACCCCCCCCCCCCATCACTGCCCTGTCCCCAGCTTTGTCGTCCATGTTCATTGTTCATGCATACATGCATATAAGTTCTGTGGTTTATCTTTCCCTCACACTCCCTCTTCTGGAGATTGTCAGTCTGTACCCCACTTCCACATCTCTGGGACTACCCCATTCCTCAGACTGTTATGTTCATTATATTCCACAAATAAGTGAGATCATATGATACTTGTCTTTCTCTGTTTGGCTTGTTTCATTTAGGATAATACTTTCCAGGTCCCTCCATGTCGTCTCAAAGGATAAGAGATCTTTCTTTCTTATAGCTTCATAGTACTCCATTGTGTATATGTACCCCAGCTTTCTTATCCATTCGCCTACTGATGGACACTTGGGCTGTTTCCAGATCTTAGCTATTGTAAATAGTGCTGCTATGAACATGGGGGTACATAGATTCTTTCTGATTGGTGTTTCAGGCTTCTTAGGGTATATTCCTAGAAGTGGGATCACTGGGTCATATGGCAGTTCCATTTTAAATTTTTTGAGGTAACACCATATTGTTTTCCATAGTGACTGCACCAGTTTGCATTCCCACCAGCAGGTACTAGAGTTCCCTTTTCTCCACACCCTCGCCAACACTTGCTTGATGATTTGTTGATGGCGGCCATTCTGACAGGTGTGAGGTGATACCTCATTGTTGTTTTAATTTGCATCTCTCTGAGGATTAGTGATGTTGAGCATTTCTTCATATGTCTCTTAGCCATTTGTATGTCCTGTTTGGAGAGGTGTCTAGTTCCTCTGCCCATTTTTTAATTGGGTTCTTTGTCTTCCTTTTGTTGAGTTGTATGAGCATTCTATATATATTGGAATTTAACCCCTTATCTGATGTATCATTGGAAATTATGGCCTCCCATAGAGTGTTTGCCTTTCCATTTTGGTGGTTGTTTCTTTTGCTGTGCAGAAGCTTTTGAGTTTGATGTAGTCCCATGTGTTCATTTTCTCCTTTGTTTCTGTTGCCTTAGGTGATGTATCAGTGAAAATTCTGCTGCGTATGATGTCTGAAATGTTGTTGCCTACATTTTCTTCTAGGATTTTTATGAATTAATGAGTCACATTTAAGTCTTTTATCCATTTTGAGTTTATTCCTGTGTATGGTGTAAGTTGATGGTCTAGTTTCATTTTTTTTGCATGTAGTTGTCCAATTTTCCCAACACCATTTATTAAAGAGGCTGTCTTTACTCCACTGTATGCTCTAGCCACCTTTGTTGAATATTAATTGTATTAATATTGTATGGTATTGTCTTGGGTCCATTTCTGGGTTCTCTATTCTGTTCCATTGATCTATCTGCCTATTCTTGTGCCAGTACCAGGCTGTTTTGATTACAGTCGCTTTGTAGTATAACCTGAAAACTGGTAATGTGATCCCTCCAACTTGGTTCTTTTTTAAGATTGTGGCTATTCAGGGTCTTTTTTGGTTCCATATGAACTTTTGAAGTATTTGTTCTAGTTCTGTGAAGTATGTTGTTGGTATTTTGATGGGGATTGCATTGAATCTATAGTTCACTTTGGGTAGTATGGACATTTTAATGATGTTAATTCTTCCAATCCATGAACAAGGTACGTGCTTCCACTTTTTTATATCTTCCTCTATTTCTTTTTTCAATGTCCTGTAGTTTTGCGAATAGGTTCTTTATTTCTTTGGTTAAGTTTATTCCTAGGTATCTTAATTATTTTGCCGTGATGATAAATGGGTTTGTTTTTTCAGTTTCTCTTTCTGTGAGTTCATCATTGGTGTATAAGAATGCCATCGATTTCTTGACGTTAATTTTGTATCCTGCTACTTTGCCAAATTCATTTTTTTTTATTATTATTTTTTTATCCTCACCTGAGGACACTTTTCTATTTTTTGTTCAGGTAGAGTGGGAGGGAGAGAGAGGAACAGAGAGAGAGAGAGAAACATCGATATGAAAGGAACACATCGAGTGGCTGCCACCCACACGACCGACCAGGGCCGGGGACAAACTGCAACCAAGGTACAAGCCCTCAGCGGGAACCAAACCCGGGTCTCTCCGGACCGCAGGCCCACGCTCTAACTGCTGAGCCAAACTGGCCAGGGCACCAAATTCATTTTTTAAGTCTAGTAAATTTTTGATGGAGTCTTTGGGGTTTTCTACGTATAGTATCATGTCACCTGCAAATAATGACAGTTTCACTTCCTCCTTTCCAATTTGGATCCCTTTTATTTTTCCTTCCTGCCTGATTGTTGTGGCTAAGACTTCCAGTTCTATGTTAAATAAGAGTGGCGAAACTAAGCATCCTTGTCTTGTTCCTATTCTTAAGGGAAATGCTTCTAGTTTTTGCCCATTGAGTATGATGTTGGCTGTAGGTCTTTCATATATGGCCTTTATTATGTGGAGATACAATCCCTCTATTCCCATATTGCTGAGCGTTTTTTTGTTTGTTTGTTTGTTTTTTCTTATCCTCACCCGAGGATATTTTTCCATTTTTTGTACAGATAGAGTGGGAGGGAGAGAGAGGAAGGGAGAGAGAGAGAAACATCGATGTGAAGGGACACATCAAGTGGCTGCCACCCGCACGACCAACCAGGGCCGGGGACAAACTGCAACCGAAGTACGTGCCCTTAGCGGGAACCGAACCCGGGTCTCTCCGGACCGCAGGCTGACGCTCTAACCGCTGAGCCAAACTGGCCAGGGCTTGCTGAGCGTTTTTTTATCAGAAATGGGTGCTGGATTTTGTCAAATGCTTTTTCAGTGTCTATTGATATGATCATATGCTTTTTATAAAATTAATTTATTTTTGTTATAGGTGTTTCTCCTTTCCCCCCACTGATTCCCCCCTCCCATTCCCTCCCCACCCTGTCCCCAACTTTGTTGTCCATGTCCATTGTTCATGCATACATGAATATAAGTTCTGTGGTTTATCTCTTCCTCACCACCCCCTCTTCTGGGGATTGTCAGTCTGTACCCCACTTCCACGTCTCTGGGACTACCCCATTCCTCAGACTGTTATGTTCATTATATTCCACAAATGACATCAGGTCATATAATTTTTATCTTTCATTTTGTTTATGTGGTGTATCACATTTATTGACTTGAGAATATTGTACCAGCCTTGCATCCCTGGGATGAATCCCACTTGGTGATGGTAAATAATTTTTTTGATGTATTGCTGGATTCGATTTGCTAGTATTTTGTTCAGGATTTTGGCATCTATGTTAATCAGGGATATTGGCCTGTAGTTTTGTTTCTTTGTAGTGTCTTTTTCTGGTTTTGGAATTAGAATTATGCTGGCCTCATAAAACAAGTTTGGAAGTCTTCCTTCTTGAATTTTGAAATAGTTTGAGGAGAATGGGTATTAGTTCTTCTTTGAATGTTTGGTAAAATTCCCCCGTGAAGCTGTCCGGGCCTGGGCTTTTGTTTGCTGGGAGAGTCTTGATTACCTCTTCAATTTCCTTTGTTGTTATTGGTCTGTTCAAGTTTTCAATCTCTTCCTGGTTCAGTTTTGGGAGACTATGTGTTTCTAGAAATTTGTCCATTTTGCTTAGATTGTCAAATTTGTTGCCATATAATTGTTCATAATATTTTTTAACAATCCTTTGTATTTCTGTGGTGTCAGTTATTATTTCTCCTGTTTTATTTTTGATTTTGTGTATTTAGGTTCTCTCTCTTTGTTTCTTGGTGAGTCTAGCTAAGGGTCCATCAATCTTGTTTATCTTTTCAAAGAACCAGCTTTTTGTTTCATTGATCCTTTGAATTGTTTTTTTGGTCTCCATGTCATTTATTTCTGCTCTGATCTTTACTGTTTCCTTCCTTTCACTTGCTCTGGGATTTTCTTTTTGTTTGCTTTCTAGTTCTTTAAGTTGTGAGGTTAGATAGTCTATTAAAATTTTTTTTGTTGTTTCTTGAGCTAGGCCTATAGTGCTATGACCTTCCCTCTCAGAACTGCTTTCGCAGCATATCATAGATTTTGTGTTGTTGTGTGTTCATTTTCATTGGTTTCCAGGAAGTTTTTAATTTCTTTTCTGATCTCCATGGTAACCCATTGTTTAATAACATGCTATTTAGCCTCCATGTTTTCAAATGTCTTTGCATGTTCTTGTTGCAATTGATTTCTAGTTTCATGCCATTGTGATCTGAGAAGATGCTTGATGTAATTTCAATCTTCTTGAACTTGTAGAGACTTAGTTTGTGCCCTAACATGTGGTCTATCATTGAGAATGGCCCATGTGCACTTGAGAAGAATGTGAATTCTGCAGTTTTGTGGTGTAATTCTCTTTAGATATCTATTAAATCCATTTGATCTAGTGCTTCTTTTAGAGTCTCTGTTTACTTGTTAATTTTTTGTCTGGATGACCTATCCAGTGATGTCAACGGGGTGTTGAAGTCCCCTGCTATGATTGTATTGCTGTTGATTTCTCCTTTGAAGTCCTCCAGAAGATTTTTAATATATGTTGGTGCTCCTATATTGGGTGCATATATACTTACCAAGGTTATATCTTTCTGTTGGATAGAACTTTTCAATATTATGTAGTGGCCTTCTTTGTCTCTAGTTATGGTCTTCATTTTGAAATCTACTTTGTCAGATATGAGTATTGCTACCCCAGCTTTTTTTTCCTTTCCATTTGCTTGAAAGATTTTTTCCCATCCCTTCACTTTCAACCTACATGAATCTTTTGTTGTAAGGTGGGTCTCTTGTAAACAACATATATATGAGTCATGCTGTCTTTTTCAGTCAGCTACTCTGTGTCTTTTTATTGGATTATTCCAACCATTCACCTGTAAGGTGATAATTGATAAGTACTTATTTATTGCCATTTTGTTTAGTGACATCCAACTCTTTACTACTGTCTCATATGGACCTAGTTATTTCATATGTTTCCACTTTCTATCCAATGGTAGAGACCAGGTTTTAAACTTCTTTTGCATCCCCAAAGCACTTAACCCAGACTTGAAAAGTAGTACACAATTGCCACCTGTTTGTTCACTATTTGTCCAGAGTGAAAACAACGACCCAGAGCATATCTAGTATGTGCCTCCTTAACTACTGTGTAGACGCACTGAAGTCTAAGAATGTGCTTTGGTCAGATATATGTATACAGTAAATATCCATATGTATACAGTAAATATCCAATCAACTGAGCTGACTCCCCATTCATACACCCTGCTCTGCAAATGTGCCAAATGTGCCTGATTGAAACCTCATTTACAGAAAAACCACTAATTCCTCCTGACTTGAGCTCCTTTCCAAAGCAGTGGCCCCTTCAGCTACTCTGCACGTGGCCTATAATTCTGTCTACCATAAGTGGTCGTGACAAGCAGCGCCATCTGCACCAGGGAAAGGTTGTTGAGGCTTCAGTCATGCAAACCAAGTCAGGAGTGTTCTCACTGCTGCAGTCAATGTGACCAGTGATTTCATAAGGTATTACAAGACTCATCCCTGGGAGGAGACTTTGGGGTCCCCTATGTAACCAAAGCAATCATCCCAATTAACTATATTAAGGAGCCAGCTGTAGCTATTGCATTCAGGAAATAAAACTTAATCGCATTCTAGAAATGAGACTTAATAACTTGTGGAGAATACTACTCCACTTAAACTCACCTGGGACTTTTAAATCAAAAAGCTTTTACATATTAAGTCTGTATTCCACAGCACACATCTATGAAAGGGGCTGCTGGACACTAGAAGAAGGGGTGCTACAGTGTGGCTCATCAGGAAATGTAGAGCTCTCCACCTGCCACTCTACTCAGCAAGCGGCATGGAGGCTGAGAACAGGCCCTGTTATATTAGAATTCTAACACAAAAGAAATGTATGAACATGCTCCTACTCTGGTTGGGAAATAGCGGCTTGTCTTAAATGTCTTTAAGGTGCTCGAGAGGATGAAGGTGGTGAAGAAGAGAATGCAGGACCAAAACAGCACATCAGGAGTATAGGGTCCATGATGGCCACACGCAGATCCTGTGAACTCTCCATGCATCTCTTGGCATTCCTGGAGGAACAAACATTCTGGGTAATGAAAGGTAGGCAGCAGGGGGAACTAGCTGCTGTGTTCTGAGTCCACCACTCACTGTCATCCATGGTTGCTGGGGAGCACAAGCTGCCAGCAGCACTAACCTCCATGCACTGGTGGGCTCTTGCCGGCACAGGACCCTTCCAGGTAGGGTGACTACTTATGACCTGAACTAAGACACTTTTGAAAATGAAACCAGAACTGCCTTAGGCAAACATGAGATGCTAAGAGGGCCTACCAATTTGTATTATTTTTTTACAGAGGACTTCCTGATTTGAATGTCCATAAAACCTGGATATGCACCCCAGCCCTGCCTGGTTTCATCCCCACATATTCTTAGTGCAGGGTCACTGGGTAGGGGGTGGCTACTGCATGTGAGAGAGAAGAGGAGATAACATTCTTTTCCCTTTATGTACAAGAGAATTTTGAGAGGGAATAAAAAGTCAGTAAGAATAGTTAAAATTCTTTTTTAAAGCTTTGTATCTGTAAATGCCAAAGCTTGCTAAAGGGCTACCCACTTCTACCTAGGAGAACCCCCTGAACCTGGCAGTCACAATGCTAGGTCATCTGGAAGCTCCCCAACTTACAGTGACAGTCAGGTTAGCCCAGTGAACTTCTGTTGTCACGATGTCATGGTCCTTCCAATACTGTAATGTGTGATTGTTTGGATTCTCTGGGATAGTACACCTGCAGCTGGAGAGGGGAAAAAAGGATTCCTGAGGAGAGAGAGCAGCCAACTATTCAATTTAATAATTTTAGCCATGACTGGGCTAATGGCTCTATCATTAGAGCCTGCCTTGCTTCTCCTTTGTCCACTTCAGATCCCTGAGGTTGGTCCTATTGGTCCCATACCCTGATTTTTCAGTCAGTCATTAATAACAAATGACTCAAATCAGTGTTGTGGGTCTTGGATTCAGTTGTACTGAAAACCAAGCTTAGCATCTGATGCACCCAGAATGAACCCTGGACATTTCTTAGTTTCTGTCTCTTAGGCTCGTCCTATAGAATTCCATCTACATAGCAAGGAGGACATGATATCCTATTCAGCTCCCGACAACATCTTCTAAACCTGGATATCTTGCTCCCTATACCCCTGTCACATTCTTGTTCTAAAACTCAGAGTCTCCTGGAATCGTGATATAAGCTCTTCCTGACACTGTGTCATACCTAGTAATCCATTACCTTGGCCGTTCACTGGCTTCCCAGACCTCTTCTTCTATCTAAACAAGACCAGATCAGACCTGTCCCACTGGCTACCATGCTGCCTCCCTGTCCCAGCATGCTTCATGCTGACTGGCTCCCTGACCTGCAACCTTCGTTCCACCAACTTTGTTTCATCTGAGAACTTAATGGGCATGCCTTCTAATATAGCATGAATAGAATTAAAATTCAAAAAGATCTCAACAGTTTATAAAATAGAAGGAAATCAACAAAATGAAAAGTAATAGGGAAAACTATAATGTCCTACATTTAGGTGTAAAAAAATCAATTCCAAACTTGGAAGCTACAGAGATGTCCTCCAGTAGGTGAATGGATGTACTGTAGTATACCTAGACAATGAACTATTATTCGGCACTAAAAGGAAAAAAACCTAAGGGTCCTTCAATGGACAATTAGATAAAGAAGTGGTATGTGTATACAACAGAATACTACTCAGCCATGAGAAAGGATGAAATGCTGCCATATGTGACAACATGGATGGGTCTTGAGAATATCATGCTAAGCGAAATAAGTCAGTTGGAAAGAACCACATGATTTCACTCATATGTGGAATATAAAACAGAAAGAAACAAATGAATAAACAAAACCAGCAAACAAACTCATAGACACAGACAACAGGGAATAGGGGTGGGGGAGGATGACGGGGGTAAAGGGAGTCAAATAAAAAGTGGGGCAAAAGTAGGTTTACAGTTGTTTGTATGGAAAATAATACAATAATCAATAAATAGTAATACAAGAATAAACTTTGTGATTCACATACTCACAACTATAAACCTACTTTTGCCTCACCCTGTATGGTGACAGAAGGAGCCTAGCCTTTGTGTGGGTAGTGAACATACAATGCAATATACAGATAATGTATTATAGAATTATATACTTGAAACATATAATTATTAATCAATGTTATCTCGATAAATTTAATTTAAAAATTAATCAAATTCAGCCTTGGCCGAGTAGCTCATTTGGTTAGAGCGCTGACCTTATATGCCAAGGTTGTAAGTTTGACACCGCCCCCCATCATGGCACCTATGAGAATCAACCAATGAATGTATAAATAGGTGGAACAAGTCAATGTTTCTGTCTCTCTAAAAAAATAAAGAATAAAATATAAATATTTTAAAAATTAAAAGAAATGAGCTATCGAGCCAAAACCCATAGAAGACTTTCAAGTGCACATTAATAAATGAACAAAGCCAATTTGAAAGCCAAATACTGTATGATCACAACTATATGACATTGTGGAAAAGGCAAAACTATGGAGACTGTATAAAGATCAGTGGTTGGGCTGGTAGGGTAGAATGAATAGGTAGAGCACAAAGGATTTTTAGGGCAGTGAAACTAATCTGTATGATGCTATAATGATGGATATGTCATTATACATTTGTCAAAACTCATAGAATGTACGATACCAAGAGTGAACCCTAATATAAACTATGGACTCTGGGTAATAATGATGTGTCAATGCAGGTTCACTGATTATAACAAATGTACCACTCTAGTATGGGATGTTGATAGTGGAGGAAGCTGTGCACATGTGGGGGCAGAGGATAGATGGGAACTCTGTACTTTCCACTCAATTTTTCTGTGAATCTAACTAAAACTGCTCTTTAAAAAATTGTGTTAAAAAATTAGTTCCACACATATTAACATAAAGTCATTTAAAGAATTGAAAAGTTCTAGCTTCACATCAGCTCCATATGAACCAACATTGGAATGCAAATAAGAAAAATACCATTTGAGCCCTGGCCAGTTTTGCTCAGTGGTTAGAGCATCAGCCTGTGGAATGAAGGGTTACAGGTTCGATTCCAGGTCAAGGGCACATTCCTGGGTTGCAGGTTCAGTCCCCAGCCAGGGTTGTACACCAGGGTTGTATGGGAGGCAATCAATCGATGTCTTTCTCTCTCACATTGATGTTTTTCTCTCTCTCCCACTCTAAAAAATAAAGAAAAAAATCTTCAGGTGAGGATTAAGCAAAAAAGGAAGGAAGGAAGGAAGGAAGGAAGGAAGGAAGGAAGGAAGGAAGGAAGGAAGGAAGGAAGGAAAAGAGGGAGGAAGGAAGGAAAGGAGGGAGGGAGGGAAGGAAGGAAAGAAAAAAATACCATTTGAGCTTTATTAACAGAGAATTACAGTATTCAGAGCCAAAGCCTACTCAGTGCAGGGCTGATCACTTTTGTCCATCTTTTCCCACTTGGATAAAACCTCATGAGGATAGATTCTCTGTCTGTCATGTTGATCACTGTTTTCTGGGCCTAAAACAGTGCTGGCACATAGTAGATGCTCAACAAATATTTATTAAATAAATAAATGATTTTAAAAAGGCCAAAGAATGAACCTTACTCCAATGCCAATGGGCAATTCCGAACTCTAAGACCAATTGACAATCTACTAGGCTTCAAAGATTATACTCCCTTTATGGTTGTTATTTTGTGATAAAACAATTTTTAGAAATTCTAATAATTTTTTTAAAAATTTTGATTTGTTGTTGTTAATCCTCTCCCAGAAATATTTTTCCATTGATTTTTAGAAAGAGTGGGGGGGGGGGAGAAAGAGAGAGAGAGAAACATCCCTGAGAGAAACACATCGAATGGTTGCCTCCAACACAACCCCAACTGGGACCGGGGATCAAACCTGCAACCCAGTTACATACCCGTGACTGGGAATCAAACCTATGACCCTTCAGTTCACAGGCTGACACTCTAACCACTGAGCAAACTGTCTAGGGCTAAATTCTGATTTTTTAGGTGGATGAACAGATAACTAGAATCTATAAAAGAAGTTCTTCCAACAACCAACCTGAATTCTCCCTGCTACATTTGCGGCCTATTTTTGTCTCAGTGCCTGGAACCAAAAAACATGCTTGGGAAGCATTTCTCAAGTCCCATCTGAGTTTCACTCTTAGTCCATCCTCTCTGTCATCAATATTGACTGTCCTCTGGCAGCCCCCAAAGTCTCTACATCCATATCTGAGCTCTGTTTCCCAAAGGGCCAAGACAGTTCTGTAACAGAAGCTGTAAGCACTGCCTGGCATACTACATCAGCCATTAAACTCAGGCCCTTTGCTCAATTAAAAAAAAAAAAAAAGACCAGCAGAAAGCATACTTACTAATATAGGCTAAGGTGGTTCAGTTGGCTGTGCATGTGGATGGGGTAGGTCTCTGCCAGGTGAATCAGCTTTTCTATTGCTTCGTAGATGAAAATAATGCAAATCAGGGAGGCAAAGGCTTCTTCAGTGAAGCGGGTAATGTAGCAGACAAGGGAACTGGCATCAGTTGCCACAAGGACAATACATAGGAAGGCGGTCCACAGTCCGATACAAGCACGCAAGGAGAGGTATGAAAGAGCGTAGTCTCTGAAACAAGACCAAAGTTCATCAAGAAGCATGGATGGATGGCATTAGGAGACAAAGGGTCAGAAACACGGTTAGTTCATCTCATATTATTCATGCCAGTATTGCAACCCAATTTCTCCCTAATTCTAACTGAACTTCACTTTTTTTTTTAAGGCTACCCTGGGACGTTGTGACAAAGATTTGCTTCATGGGTGGTATCTGCTGTAGCAAGGACATGGAAACTGGAGAATTGTCCCACACACATATCTGCCATTACTGCCCAACAAGATTAAGATCTTATTCTTGCAGTTAAGAAAAAAGAGCTGTATGGCCCTTGTTCCATGTGCTCCTATTTCTAATACAAAATGAAAAAAAAAGTCTATTAAAAAATCGTTCTAAGAAATGAGGACATTGTTGAACGCCCACCACCAGCAACCAGAATTAAAGGGGTATATCAGGCGAAACGAAAAACTAACTTGAAATGGAGGAGTTTGAATTATTTAGGGAAAGCTTTTTTAAAGATAAAGTAAAGATTTAAATAATGGCCGAGGGGCATTAATAAAACTCTTTAAGACTAGAAGATCTCCCGCCTAGCTGGTGTGGTTCAGTTGGTTGGAGTGTCATCTCATACACCAAAGGTTGCAGGTTCGATCCCCAGTCAGGGCTTGTATGGGATATTTCTTTCTCTCTCTCTCCCTCTCCCCATCTCTCAAAAATCAATAAAAACATATATTCTAGTGAGGATTTAAAAAAAAAAGACTAGAAGATCTGCTGTTTTAGGTATGGTACCACCCAGAGGCAGGACAACAGACCAAATGATGTTCTTCCTTCAGGTTTTTACCATCCAGAATGATATTTGCCTACTTATACTCCACCTGGGACACTGGAATTGAACCCTAACAGCACAATAACACATCCAGTTAGAGTTTTCAGAAAATCAAGTGTCTTACTTGCAGAATTTGAACAAAATCTTTTCAAAAACAAGCACCGGCCCAGTGCTTCCCAGGATGGTGAGAGCCTGTCCCGCAAACAAGGAATAGGCAATTCCAGTCATGGAGGCTCCGAACAAGGATTCAATTGCACTCTGAGGGGGAAAAAAAAAAAAATCACTGAATCCACAGCTCATCTGCAATGAGCAATGTGGGCTTATACACATTCCTGACTTAGCTCTCATGTGCACCCCGATGGATCATTTGCTTGTATTTCATCTTAGCCAGAGTGATGTGTACACACTGTCTAATACTCCTGTAAATGGTATCACTCTGGTAATTCAGAAGCCCAAATCCATCCACATCTGATTCCTTAACTAAGTCCTGTTCCGCAGTGACTCACTTCAGTAGATTGTACAGAAAGCACATTGATATCATTCACACTATGGGCTGTCATACAGAGTCACCAACATCTTATTTTCAAATGACATTAATATATTATTTTCCATCCTTGGAGCAATGGGCAATTCAACTGGGCAATCAGCTAGTGAAATTGATATTCAAGTATAAGTGAATGTGTTCTAAAGGAAGAACTGTGTTGCTGCATGGTATGAAGTCAGAATACACAGTAATTCAATAGAAAGACTACAGTCTCCTTAGTCCTAGCCTAGGCCCTTTCTCTCCCAGTGGACTTGACAGCCACCACAATATTTCAAGTCTTCTTTGGGACCATTAGGAGTGGTTAAAAGTTCTTACTATGCGTCCCTCAGTGGCCTCTCCGAGTAATCCCCCAAAGGTGATGACAGGTGACATGCAGGCACAGTACAGGAACAGAAAGGAGGCCAAACACTGTAAACTGAGTGCATCCCGGTAGTCACTCCAGTACCAGGGGGTCTTCCGCTTGATGTCCAGCACCAAGCCCCCAAAAAGCCTGTGGAAACATGGCAGAGAGGCTTCTAGCACAGTCCCTCTTGCACAGAAGCATATGAACAGCACACATTTAAAAGCACTCAAGTACAAGGGATCTGTTCTAGGGTCAACACAGATTCTATTTGCAAACAAGGCATGGATATGAATGATTATTCCAAGCATAAAATGAATTAATCTAGGTGTGCATATTATCCATTCAATAGAAAGTTCCAAAAAATTAACATGAAATTAAATATTAGCTTCAAACTTCAAATCTGAGCTGTTAGGAGGAAATGTACAAAACCTATTCAAGGAATTAAAATTGTTAGTTTTATTACATCTTTTCTAGATAAAACGCCTCTTTCACATGCAATTTCTACTCTGAATAACTACCCACCTTATGCTTGAGAAATGAGCATAATTCATTCATGCTGTGGACAAGTAGAAGATACTTTGTGCCAGGCACTGTGCCAGGTTCTGGAGATGCAGCAGTAAGCAAAACAAACACAGCCCTTCTCTCCAGGACCAAAGGTCTAGTGCAGGAGACAGGCAGTACTGTGGGGTGCCACGGCAGCACGGGACAGGTAGGGGCATTTCAGCGAGGGCTCGGAGAATGGCCCAGGAGTTAGCCTGAAGAGGAGGGGGGCTAGCATGGATGAAACTTAGAGGTAAGAACTCAAAGCAGGTTTGAGGTTCTGAAAGAGATGTGGCTGGATAAGACAATGTGAGGGGCAAATACCAATAGCCGAGACTGGAGAAGCTAGAAAATCTGAGCCACAAAAAGCTCTGGAAACTGTTTTAAGGAATTAGAACTTTATCCTAATGGCATGTCAATTCACTGAAGGACTGTAAACAGGGGAGCAATATAATTAAACCTGCATTCTGGAAGGATCACTCTGGTAGGAGCATAATGAATGGAACACAAGGCAAGACTAGAGGCAATAGATTAGGATAAGGAGAAGTGGATTCAGGGGCTAATCAGGAGTTAGAATCAACAGAACTTGGTGGGAAGACTTCAGGGCCTCTGTCCACTTCTCAAGGATGAGACAGATCAAGTGCAAGATATCTCACACCAAGGGTGAGTAGTGTTCCCACAATGAGTTGCTTCTAAGAGTGGAATAACTGCACCGTGGTGAAAGTTGTCAGGTGAATAAGAGAAACAGCCATTCAGCATTCTACAGGACAATTTGCCTGGTTTCTTCTACAAATCAATGGCATAGAAAAAAAGGCGGGATGGCTGTAATAGAATGGAAATATAATAACCAAATGCAAACCATGACTGGATCCTATGTTAAACAAATTAACTCTAAAAAGGTGCTGCACATGGAATGAGCAATATTTAAATATAAAGAATTATTGTTAATTTTGTTAGATTTAATAATGGCATGGTAGTTGTTTTTAAAATGTCTGTATCAAATGAAGATACATACTGAAGTAATTACAAGTAAAATGACGTGCTATCGGTGATTTGGTTTAAAATCTAGAAAACATAAAAATAAAGCAATTAAATGGGGAAAAATAGGTGAAACAAGACTGACAAAATGTTGATAACAGTTGATGGGTACATAGAAGGTTCATTACACCATTCTCTCTTCTTTATCTGTTTGAAATTTTCTAAGGTAAAAGCTTAAAAAAAACAATCTAGCCCAACTGGTGTGGCTCAGTTGAGTGTCGACCCATGCACTAAGAGGGAGCCGGTTCAATTCCCAGTCAGGACACATGCCCAGGTTGTGGGCCCGATCCCCAGTGAAGGGCATGCAAGAGGCAACCAATCGATGTTCTCTCTCATTGATGTTTCTATCTCTCTCTCCCCCTCACTTCCTCTCTCTCTCTAAAATCAATAAAGGGAAAAAAAATTTAAAAATAATCTATTCTCTCATAAAAGCAAATTTGGCCAGCCCTTCCTTCCTTCCTCCCTTCCTCCCTTCTTTTCTTCCTCCCTTCCTTCCTTCCTCCCTTCTTTTCTTCCTCCCTTCCTTTCTCTTTTTAGGCCTGGAGGTGTACCACAAGGTCTGCAACCTGTATGCTGGGGAAAATACACAACAAGCTCTCTTTCTCCATGCAAAAACTCTCGCTCATCTGGCTAGGTACAATGAGTGTGCTGGTAGACACAGGGAAGACACTGTTCTATCATATCCACTTGCTCTTTCCTCTGGATTGGGTGGACATAGCTGTGATTCACCCTTTCTCAGTTTACAGCAGTAACATCCCAGTGTGGATCTGGGCTTAGGGGAGAGTAGCAGAGCCAGCCTTGTGGCCTGCTTTGGTTTTAGCCTGTCTGGCATACCTACTTAGGAAGGGACAATTTATAGGGTCCAACCTAGAGCACAAGAGATCTGCCTCAGGGTTTGAAACCAAGGCTCCAGTTTGTAATAAAGTGTTTTTTCTTGTTTTCTTGTCTGGGTAAATAGCCCCTTAAGGAACTTACAGGCAGCTGCAATTAGTCTGGGGCAAGATTCTAGTGTTTCTGGGTCCTTGGCCAACATAGCATCTTAGTACCACGAGAATATCACCCTCAATCACTAATGACCATCCTCTGAAGGATATTATTCTGACAGAAGAATCTCCTACAATAATGAGCCTCACCACACTGAGACAACCTGAGATGCTGCCATGATTGGTCAGCCCCTGGACGCAGGAGGCACCTTCAGGGAAGAGTGTCGGTGAGTAACAAACAAAAGATTCATGTGAAATGGATTTATGAGAAGCCGTAGAGAGGACATCTGTCTGCCTAGCAGTAATTAAAAGGGAAGAGAACAGCTCTGAGGCTCTTATTGATAATATAACTAAAAATTAATAAAATAATTTCCTAACACTGTTTATGGAGTCAGCCACATTCCTCACTCATGCAGAAAATCAGACCATAATTGCACATCTACCACAGATGTTAATCAGATATGGAATTTCCCCCCACGTTTTAGATTTCCTTTCCCTTCAACACTACCTTTAATGTTCAAATTGAGATGAGGTAGGAGGCACACAGGAACATGAATTTAAGCTGGATGCAACAAAGACTTACCTGAGCAGAGGGTCACTAGGCTCTGGAGCACTGACTTACAAAGCCCTTATCTGAAGGGCTTTAGGGACAGGACAGCCATCCATTTGTCTGGTGTGCTTTGGAAGAAACCTGTTTGAAGTGTTGAGGGGATCATAGAGATAGCAGCTCCTGATTCTTTTTTTTTTTATTAACCCTTCCCAAAAGTGGCATCCACAATTAAGTGCATAAATTTACCTTGGAAACTCCCTTTCCAGAGTACCTTCTCTGCTGTGAAGCATCTGGCCTAGGAACAGTCTGTCAGACTTCCTCTCGCTGTGTACAGGAGCGCACTGCATCACTGCCTATGCCAGCATCTAAGATGCTATCTGAGCCCTGGCTTGGTGACCAGGGAACACAAGACTCAGAGTGCTGTTTGCAACTCTGTCTCCTTTCCCCGTCTTAGAGTCTGCACTCCCACATTTCCAATACCTCTCCATCCAACGAAAACGGTAGCCTCCAAGTCTCCAAGTTCTACCCCAGGTTGTGCACCACCTCAAAGAAACACAACTAATAGTGTGAAGAATCATAAAACCCAGGCTAATGTATTTTAGTCTGTGCAGTCCAAGAGGGTCCAGAAAATTCTTGAATGTCCATCTGCAGGGGAAGGTTCACATTCACCCCCTACATAAATTGAGATTGGAGAAGAGGCCAGAGCTAGCATGGAAGGATAGTCCCTGATATAGGCATTAGGTCACCGGCCTAAAATAGGAGCAAAGCAAAGTGTTTTGGGGTCTTTTACAAAGGGCTCTGAGGAAAACTTCAGGAGCTTAGGAAGAGAAAGCATCTCCCACACCAAGCATGAATGATCCTCCCTCCTTCCCTCCCTCTCTCCCTCCCTCCCCCTCCCCCCTTCCTTCCTTCTTCCATTCAAAGCTCTCTCTCTCATCTGGCTAGGTACGATGAGTGTGCAGATGGACACAGGGCAGACACTGGACAAAAGTGGGCTCTGAGCTCAAATAACCTTTCCTCTTTCAGCTTTGTCAATTCCAGAAGTTCCTGACATGACATTATGGAAGAACTTCCTCAAACTTCATTTGAATTTGTGAGTAAAGCCATTTGTTTTTGGTGGGTAAACATTCGATGGTCCTAGCTATATAGAATTTTTTGGGAGGATGTCAGGTACCATTCCTAAGGTTCTATAACTATTGAAATCCAATCTAATAGTCTCCTAAACCCCCTATGAAGTTGATTATAGGGGACCCCACTCAAAAGGCCTGAAACTCAAGTTTCCTCTCCTCTCTCTGACACCAAAAGAAACCTGAAGTCTTACCTCTGCGTGGATTATCTATTTGGAGGAAGTCTTACTGCCCTCTTTTCTCCTACTTTCAAACTCTAAATCCTGGGGTGAAGATACCCTTTATATTCAAAAGATAAATCATAACTCTTAAATATTATCAAATCCATACCCCAAGACTCTTCTCCTTAAAAACTACCACCTCCTCTAAGACAGTCTCAATCCTGGAATCTATTCCAAGGACAGATGCTTCCCTTGAACTGCCTCTTGATACCAGGCCTCCTCACCCAATTCAGACCCCTCTCCACTTAAAAGAAAATGTTACACTTACTCTTAGAGGTTATTCCTTCTTTTCAGTGACCCTTCCATCAAAGGGATCCTCCATTCCTCCAGTGATGCCCTTCCCAGAACTTAACCTATCTTTCCCCATCCTCAATGCATTCCTCCAACCCAGAATCACACTCCCCTATCAGGCCACTGCTAATTAAGTGTGATTCTCTCCAGCTCCTCAGTCTCCTCTTACTCCCTCTCTCCCTGAATTTCCAAGAATGGAAAAAGAAATCACTCTCCACAAATAAACAAAACAAACACCTGAGTTTCCACTGGGTGGGGTACTAAAGATAGAAAAATAAGGAAAGCAATTGTAAGCAAGGAGAAAAAAAATAAAGTGAAAACAAAGGAGTAGAAAATGTTAAAAACTTCTTTCCATGATCTGAGTCTTGTTCTGAGAATCTCCTCCTCCCAGCAGATCATTCTTAGACAAGCACAACTTACAGAGCCAGGACCACAGTCTCACCTTCTCCCATTATCTGGGGGATACCAGTGGATATCACCCCAACCCAAAATCTCATCCTCTTTTACTACCACCTTACTTGGCAAATAAAACTTCCTAGTCTGGGGACCTGCTTCCCTCACCTACCACAGAACCTCCTTCTTGAACATAACCCTTAAAATCTTGGCCTAGAAGAACAGATTTCCTATTCTGAGACACACACCTAAAATAGTACCTATTTTTCTACCCTAAGGGAGTTTCATAAAATAATCGCTCAATACTTATCCATACCTGGTCCATTCATATTTCTGAATAGGCATCATTCTAAAAGTATTCATTCATTCATTCATTCATTCATTCATTCATTCATTCATTCAATATTGAGTGCCTGCTCTGTGCAGGGCTCTTTGCTGGGTTCTAGGAATATAATGGGGGTCCCAGCCCTTATGGAGCAAATATTCTAGCAGGAAAGACAATGAATCAAGCAATAATAATAAAGTATAATAAGAGGGCTAGGGGTAGGATGGCAGGCAGGCAAGGGGCAGAGCTCAAAGCTGTGACAACACATAGCAGGAACATGTAACCTCATCTACAGAGAGTCCCGGAAGGCTTTCCTAAAGAAGTGATACCTAACCCGAGTTCAAGGATAAGTATCAGGTTAGCCTGGAGATGAGGAAGGAGAACAATGTGTGGAAAGAACTGAAGGTGAGACAACATGGTAGGTGGTCTGAGAAACTTGAATGAGTGAATACAATATTTGGTATATTCATAACACTTATAGTCAATGGTTCCATTTGAAAAGTCATTCCCAGCCAATTAAGATCCAACAGAGAAGAAGGCTGAAAGCAAAAGGATGACTCATTGCTTTACGGGATGTCTGCCCAGCAGGCAGCATCATCTGTAAAACATCTCAGAACTTACCGCCCAGTGCGCTGCAGTTCTGGCCCGCTGTGGCCCCCGTGTGGTTCTGGTTCTATGTGGCAAACGTTTCCATTTGGAACACCAGGCATTTTCCTTTTTTCCTTTTAACAGATGACCACAAAATTAATTAGTTCAACCATCTAGTCTGTTCTTTCTCTAACAGGGGGGAGTGGAAAATAATCCAAAAGCAGCCAAAAAAAAATGCCCGAGTGTTTGCAGCTTTGAAATGCACTCATTGATTTGGGGCAGTTTGTCAACTTTCCTGAAGAAAAACAACATAATTTCTCCACCTATCTACTAGTATCTGATTTCTTACTCTGCCTTGCCCAGAAACAGAAAAATGGAGGCTTTGGCATCAGATATAACCTAAATTCCAGTTTCAAATATGCCTTTATATAATCTTACTTTACCTTAAAACCCTGAAGATTGTTTTACTCTTTATTCATAAAACTAAGGATAACAATACCTATTTGGGGATGTTGCTGAGAAAATTGGATTAGCATATGTAAAACACCTGGCTTACTGTCCAGTGCATAGTAGGAGTACCCTTCCCATCTTACCTGTCAAAAAAGTATGGGGAACTCTATTTGCTCTCTCTATATAACTTGCTCTTTTCATTTAAAATGGCTTATTCATGATATACTCCCAAAAAATGTCCTTCCCTCTCCTCTCTGCCATTCCACATCAATTCTACCAAAGTTGCCTTAAAATTCATCCTGGGTAATCCTGACTGAACCTATCACATCTGAGCCAATCTGTATTACTGCATATTCATTTTTTATTACTTTTCTGATATTCTAGGTGCCCTGAAACAGAGCCACATGTTGACTTATTTAACATATACACAACATGGCCTTTGCTTTGTCCACGGTTGGGCACTCAATGACACTAAGCCACCACTGGCAAACGCATATACATTACCTGGGAAGGGACGTTTTTGGGTGGTTCAATTCTAATGGAAGGGTCCCACTCCCCTGGAGGAAGCACCGTCACTTGGTCTAGGAACTCATCAATCCCTGCCAGGAGATCATCTCGCTCTTTTGCCTTATATGCCACATCATGAAAAATCTACAGAGAAGAAAAAACCCTCAGGAAAGGTGAAAATGGCTTTACTTAAAACAATCACCAATGGATATGGTGAAGAATTAATACAACCTCTTGGTTTTTATTTCTGTCATGGGGATCTAACATGTAGAAAACTTTAGCACTTAGAGAAGTGTAAGGATTTTTAAAAATAAAACTAAAAATGAAATAAATAAATAAATAAATAAATAAATAAATAAATAAATAAATACATGTCTATTTATATAAGAAGAGATAAGACAGCCCTGGCAGGTCTGGCTCAGTGGTTGGAGTGTCGGTCTGTGAACCAGAGAGTCCCGGGTTCGGTTCCCGCTTGGGACACGCATGCGCGCGTGCACACACACACACACACACACAGAAGAGATAAGACATTTGTATAAGACAGTCCATAATTCTACAGTTGTATAATTCTGTTATCTCCTCAAAGAATGGAATAAAAGATACGATGCATGGAAAACTTTTCCTGATCATAATGCTTGAAAAAAGTGGATGAAAATACTAATGAAGGTTCCTCCATGAAATAAGCCTCCCAATCAAAGAGAGCTGATTAAACAGCCTCCATCCCCTCTGCCTGCTAAGACATATGACTTGAAATCCCTGCTTTGCAACTTACATGAGTAGTGAAGTCCTCACCAGGGTATGCAGTGGGGGTTCAGCCCCAAAGCAGCCAAAAAGTCTACTTTTGTACATTCACACTACAGTGCTGAGCATAAATCCCTGACTTAACAAACTTGTCTCATCTATGTGGAACAGGACTGAGGTTTCTTTATGTAAATAGGTTGGACACATTTAATTAACAATCCTCTCCAGAAAGTTAAGTTAGCCTTAATATCTTTCTCTCTTAGTAGTCTACTTGGAAATAATAATTTTCCAAGAAAAATATTTCTATGCATCCTTGATTATTCAGAAAGGAAGAGATGACATAGGAAGAAAAACTCTCCAAAGGGCTCAGTCTTCCACAATAAGCATTCAGAGAAATAACCAGAACTGCTTCCCAGACGACACTGCAACTTAAATTATTTTATCCCCAACAACTAGCACAGTGCCTGGCACAGAGTAAATACTCAATACATATTTGAGATGAATGAAAGAAAAGCACAAATGGCACATACCTCATCTGTCATGATGGTGGCCATGGATCTGCCAATCTCATGGTACTGCTGACCTTTCCCTACTGGACCCAGTAGGATAAACAGAAATCTGGCAACACACACAAAGGATGAAAGTTTGTAAATAAACATAAAGAACTGGCATCTTCAGTCAGAGAAAGACAAGTATCACATGATCTCACTTATTTGTGGAATATAATGAACAAAATAAGCTGATGGACAAAATAGATTCAGAGACATGGAAGCAGGGAACAGACTATCAAACCTGAGAGGGAAGGGGGCAGGGCAGACAAGGTAGAGATCAACCAAAGAACTTCTATATGCATATATGCATAACCAGTGGAAACAGACAATAGTGTGGTGAAGATGAGGAAGGAGGTGGGACAAGGGGGGTGGAAAGGGGGGACATATGTAATACTTTCAACAATAAAGATAATTTCTTTTAAAGTGGCATCTTACTTCTTTCTAAACAGCAGAACATTTCTCTCTCCTATCAGACAGAAATTATCATTAGTGCCCTGGCTGGTTTGGCTCAGCGGTTAGAGCGTCAGCCTGCGGTCCACAGAGACCCGGGTTCGGTTCCCGCTAAGGGCATGTACCTTGGCTGCAGTTTGTCCCCGGCCCTGGTTGGGTCATGTGGGTGGCGGCCACTCGATGTGTCCCTTTCACATCGATGTTTCTCTCTCTCTATCTGAATAAAAAATGGAAAAATGTCCTCGGTTGAGGATTAAAAAAGAAAAGAAAAGAAATTATCATTAGTATGCCTCTTTTTATTATCACGGCAATAAAAGGAGGTAAACTAATGATGGAGCGATATGAACTGCCTTGATCTAATAATAGCTCCACTATAGGCATTAGAAGCTATTTGCATGACTCCATTCAATAACATGGTTGTAATTCCTAGGATTTTCATAGACACAATTCCTTGCTATAGAATAGACACTCTTTCCAAATGTGGCATTGTAATGCAAATTCAAGGTTATCATCTGAATCTCACTGATTGCTCTAATAAGAAAATCATGGGGAGAGGAAAAGAATAAGGAAGTTGAAATTATCAAGCCCTGGAGAGACGTCTAAATATTATTCTGGACATGTGACTATTCTGTAATTAATGAGGCTGTGAGTCACCTGAATCACCACCTTCAGAATGCATGAATAGCCTTTTGGACAAATGTGGACAACCTGCAAGCCAAACAAATCCTGCCGGAACTGTGGAAAGAGACATCAGTGCCTTTGCAGAGACATTTCCCTGGAATATGGCTCTGTGGAACTGGGAGGGTAAGACAGCCCTTGCTATGCACTTTGAATGCTCCTCAGTTTTCCATTTCCAAGGCTGCAGGTACTGTGCAGTCATAGCCTTAAAAGTCTTAGAATTCTTCTGCATGAAGGTTAACCAAATATACCCCAGTGAGATCGCTGCTGAATTTTAAGTAGCATTCCCCAAATTAATTAATTATCCTAAGTTTTGGTATTAGTTGGTTTCTCCCCTCAGAGAGCACATACATCTGTACTTCGGACAGAATATGCTGAGTTGTGCTGTCTCTGTCTTTACCTTGTTGGGATGGGCACTTCTGTCAGGCCTGAGAGAAGAACAGCTGGAGACAGCCTCACAAAGGCAACGATGGGGCGGTCCAGAGTATCCACTTCGCCAACCAGGACATTTGAGGCCTCTGCCCCAATGGGGATTTTTTTCATGAAATGAAGGTCCACCTGAAAATCCAAAAGAGCCTCTGAGAACCTGGGAGCCATCACTTCAAACATCAATCACCCGTCTCATGCCTTACATTCATCTCATTTTATAATTTAACAAATGTTTTCTCACCCTATTTCATTTGATCCTTACCAGAACTCTGTAAAGTACATAAGAAAGGTCTTATTAGCTCCATTTTTATTTTTAAGAAATGAAGCAACTGAGACCCAGAGAGGTGAAGTTGGCTCGCTCAGGGCCACAGAGCTTTTAAGAGAGAGAATTTAAAGCAGGTGTTCTGATTTGTATTTCATTACACCATGCTTCCTCAAAGAAAAATATTTTTGAAGCTTTAAGTCAAATTTTTCCCATTTTAAAATACTTAAATGTTTTGTCAGAGGTTTCAGGTTTTTATAAGGCTCTGTGCCTTATGAGCAGAGACGTGACCTGGCACTACCTGTATTTTAGAAAGACAGTGTCAAGGATAGACCAGAGCAGGAAGAGGCTGGAAGCAGATCATGGCTTGAACCAGAAACTGCCATGAGGCCTCAGATATCAAAGTCACAGTCCGAAGCACGAAGTCATTTTAGAAGACAGTAGCAAATATATTACTTTGACAAAACCCTTGGAGATAAGGAGGAGCTTGCTGGAGGGCAGGTGCCAAAAAAGAAATCTAAAAAATCTGGAGGTCTGAGTCAGGGAGGATTATCTGTGGCAAGTCTCAGTTTCAGCACGTTGAGCCTGGTGGAAATAACGGATGAGTCAGCCCCATCCAGGCTGGAGTAGAGGGAAGAAGACATGGGCAGGCCTGCTATTCTACAGAAGGGGCTCTGGTCTTGGAAAAAGGGTGTTAAAATACCAAAGCTTACTCTGGGTTCCACTAGAGACACTCTTAAGCCTATAGGCCAACTTCCCATGTCTCTGCTCACCTTGCTTAAATCCACGGGACTGTGTTCACAATTCACTCCATTTTTTACTTCAAGATTTGTAGTTGGAACAGACTGAGGAGACACAGTTTGACCTATTTGGAGAAAAGCAAACAGAATTCTCTGAGTTCCTGCCCTTTCCCGCTCTGACACACCTCATTCATGATTGTTTGGCTATGACTATCTCCTATGCAAAGCTCACATAGAGAAGAGGTTAAAGTGACTAAGAAGCTAGTACCACACATGCCTATCTCCTTACTACTCATTAGTGGTAAAGGGAAAACAGAGGTATTACTACTCCTGCACCTTCTTCCTGAACACCTTTGCAATCCTCTTTTCTTCCTCTATGAAGGTAGTAATCCTTAACCAGAAACGCATATCAGAGACTCCCATGGAGAGCTTTTCAAATGTATAGGTCCCCAGGCATATCCCCTGCACATTGCTATTCAGTAAATATGGAGACAAGGAGACCAATGTAGATTAGGCCCTGACTGGCCACCCAAAATGAAACCCGCAGCAGCTGAAATTCATTAGTGCACCTGGCTAAGGGCCTTAACATGAATTGAGTTATTGAAGCCTCACAATAAATGTATGGAGTAAAACCTATTATTATACTTATTTTACAAAGGAGAAAATGAGACTTAAAGAGGTTTAGAAGATTTCCTAAGATCACACACTTTGCAAGTGGTGAAACCAGAATCTCAAGCCTAGAAGTCTGAGACTAATCTAAGACATTTCTTTACTCTTTAAAAATCTCCAGCTGACCTTCTCTGGCAAAATTATCCCCAAAATGAATATCTTCCAAAAGCCACATCAGTTCTGAGGCCACTCTGGGCTACAAACTCTCACCCTGGGTCCACAGAGGTCTGTCTATGTGAGGCAGATCCCTAGTGCCACAAGAGATAGATGGTCACCAGTCCCAGCCACCCACCTGCCAATCACAAAAAGTAACTATGTCTAAGTGAGCATGGAAGCATATTAGATAAATATAAACCTGCCCTCTAGTAACTTAGTATCTCCAGCTAGTTCCCAAATGTCTGATTAATATAAAGAGAAAACAGTAACTCCTAATAATCTTACCATTTTTATCCATCGAATGTGGATCAGACTGCTTCTTGCCAACCTCAGCAAAGGAACGAACAATGGGAATGAGGTTATTTCTTTTCTTTTCATTCTGATGATGATGCTTTTTGAGAAGGGCTTCCCGTACTTTAACCCTCATGCTGTCACTCAGGTCACTGAACAGCTCTTGCTGGTCCAGGACCAGGTCTGGAAAACAGACACTAACATGAACACTCTGGTGGCCAATGGACCCAAATAGGCCAATGTCAGGTGGGGTAAGGGGTGAGGGTCAAGGAGTAGGAAGAAGTAGTTCAACCACTGTCACTGATATACAGTTTTCTCTTCAGTGCCTGAAATAGCTATTTGATGATAGCAACTGTGGCAAGTAATTATTTATATAGCAAATCATTATTATTAAAAATAGAAATTATTAAGCACTTTGTATGTGCCAGGAACTATATTAGATTATCTAATCTGATCCTTATAAAAACTCTAAAAAGTGACTGGTATAATAATTTCTACAGATCAGGAAACAGGCCCAAACATTACAAAATTCCTCAAGGTCTCATATCTAGTAAGTTGCAGAGCTGGGATTCAAACACAAGACTGTCTGACTCAAAAGTCTACAATATTACCCAGTTTGTTCTGTCATCTGACAAAAGTCCTTTATATTCCCTTCCGCCAAGATTTTAACATTGCTGTGATTCATCACTAACATTAATGCATCAGGTACCTAATGTGGAGAGCCATAGCAGTTTTATTTCAATCCTACATATCTACTCCCAAGCCTCCCCCAAACTTCAACCTATTCTCAACTCCAACTTCATCTATGACTATCTAAGTGCTGGTAGCAATAAAGAAAGTCTATTTCAAATGTTCAAACCAAAGATCCATGTTTCTCTATCTCTAACCTTTGTAAATTGATTGTTTCCTTGCCCCCATATTATAAACATGCTTCAGGACCCTTCATCTTGAAAAAAAAAATCCTCCCCAAGTCCTCCTTTATCTATTTCATTTACCTATCTCTCTCTTTCTCCCTCCCTCCCTCCCAATTTCTCTCCCCTCTCCCCCCCCCCCTTTATTGCTTCAAGTTCTCAAAATAAAAATTCCTCCACCCATTGCAATTTAACTACCTTGAAGAAACTGCTTTTGATAAAATTATCAATAACCTTCCAGTTGCTAAATCTGATGGGTGTTTCTAGTTCTTACCTAACCTGACCTCTCTATAGCATTTGACAGTGATGAATTAAAATTCTCTTCCTTCTTCATTTCTGTAGTGGGTTGAATGGTGACACCCCCCCCCCCAAAAGATATGTCTATGTAACCCCCACACCTGTGAATGTGTTCTTATTTGTAAAAAAAAAAAAAAGGGGGGGGGGGAGTCTTTGCAGAGGTAATTAAGGATCTCTTGATGAGATCATCCTGGATGATACTGACAAATAAGAGAGACACAGATCCTTATAAGACAGACACTAGAAGCTAGAAGTTAGAAACTAGAAGCATCAAGGAATAACTTTCCCCTAGAGTCTTCAGACGGGACACAGGATCCCATCAGTGCAGACCCCTCCCTTGGGTCTCCATGTGATCCCAGAGAGGCAGAATTACTTGGATACTTTAAATGGAGAAAAGTTTGGAGAAATCCTTATATAATCTGTTCAGTCGAACCAAGCTCAGTTGAGGGAAAATTCCTCATGTGCACCCAGATGTTTTCCAAACTCCACCACCAAAACATAGTAGCATAACACTCAACCACTCCACAAAATTCCATCAGACATCTCCCCTTCATATCTTGCTAAAGAAGTTGGGGCATTTTGGCTCAATTTCTTACATGTCTTCCCTAGCTGCTCTATTTTTTTTTTTTTTTTATCCTCACCCGAGGATATTTTTCCATTTTTTGTACAGATAGAGTGGGAGGGAGAGAGAGGAAGGGAGAGAGAGAGAGAAACATCGACGTGAAGGGACACATCGAGTGGCTGCCACCCGCACAACCGACCAGGGCCGGGGACAAACTGCAACCGAAGTACGTGCCCTTAGCCGGAACCGAACCCGGGTCTCTCCGGACCGCAGGCCGACGCTTTAACCGCTGAGCCAAACTGGCCAGGGCTAGCTGCTCTATTTTTAAAATCTTTCTTCAACTCCCTTTTCTCTTCACAACTCCTAGTTGTCCCTTTCTCTAATTATTATAAAAACATATCTCCATTGTTGCACTTATATTAATTATTCCATGGCTTTTTGAAGGTAGGAGTTGTGTTTTATCTTTATTCCTAAGTGCCTAGCACATAATCAGACAAAATAAATGTTTGCTGAATGAACAGACAAATGGAAGACTAAACACCATGTCATTTGAATTCCATAAGTCTGAGAAATAGGTAGTTTCTCAGTATGAAACCCAACTCACAGCTGAGAATGTTGAGGTCAGGAACATTAAGCAACTTGCCTCGAGGACACACAGCCATTTGATACTTTCCTCTATACCACACTTCTTGATTTTCGCAAACATTCCTGTTTCCCCTCACCTAACCTTACCTGAAATTTCTTCTATGCTATTTGCGCGCATATCCAGAAGGACTGTTCCGTTAATAAGGCAGCTCCTTAGCTCAAAGAGACTGTGCAGTGACAGCGTTGCCACATAGGGCTTGCTCCAGCGTTCGCCCCCGTCCTCCACATCTTCTTCAAACTTCAGCCACCTGAAAGCATTACAAAGAACTAGCTGCCAAAGATAAAAAATGAGGACTTTTCAAGAGAGAATCTTTCATGTAAGTCACAAAGAAAGATATCTGAATAATCATACTGAACTTGTAATGTAATCTCTATGTTCAGGGTACAATGGTAAGTGAAAACAGCAGGCTATAAAAATGCAAGATTAAGTATAGTTTAATTCCATTTTTATTTATAGAAATTAAAAAAAATACAAATACATACATGTATAAGACCCTAAATATTATATTCCTCATTATCCCTGGGGTTCTGCACATAATTTTCATTCTCTTTTTGCTTATCTTTATTTTCTAATTTTTTATAATGACCATATATTACTTATACAATTAAAAATAGATCTAATCTCTGCCCTGGATGGTTTGGCTCAGCGGTTAGAGCGTCAGCTTGCAGACCCAAGGGTCTCAGGTTCAATTCCTGGTCAGTAGCACGAACCTGAGTTGCAGGTTCAGCCCTGGTCAGGATCCTGCAGGAGGCAACCAATCCATGTCTCTCTCCTGCATCAATGTTTCTCTCTCTTCCTCCCTCCCTTCCACTTCATCTAAAAATTAGTGGGAAAATATCCTCAGATGAGGATAAAAAAAAACAAAAATAGATCTAATCTCTATCATTTGGATGCATTGAGAAATCACATTAATGAAATTATGTTTTTTTCCTTAAAAAGCCTATCCATGTGACCTTTAGCAATGTGCAAAGACAGAATGACAAGATTAATTGCCTTTTCACTTGGTATCAGGTCCACTGACTTGTTCAATCCTCTCTACCTGTAGAAAACATCCACAGATACAGCAGGCATCCAGGAAGAGCTGTTCCGATGTGAGCTGGAGCCACGCTTTGCTAGTTACCCACATTGCCTCTTACCCGGAGGCTCAGGCACACTGGCTTTGTATCATCCATAAGGCTCACTGGTCAGTTAGCAAAGGAGCATAGGCATGGCTCTAGTTAATCTAAGGGCTCATCTTGGGTTTGAGCCTCAGATAAGCACAGCCACTCTACAACTACCCCAGAAAGCCTACTGTTACACAGGCTATAATCTTGAGGGTCTCTATGAGGTTGGATTGTCCCATAGAAAGTTAGTCTCAAAAATTCTGGGAATTCCAGTGAATTAAAACCCAAATGACTCTATGGTTCACTGCAGGAAAAGTCTGGGTCTGTGCTCTGTCTTCTGGGCTAGATCCAAACCAAGGTGGCCCTGTCAAACATCACTCTAATCCTGACCTATAATATCAAAATAGCCCATGAAGTACTCTGGGCCTCAAACAAATAAAAGAGGACCTCAATCCCAGGCTCAAGGTAAACTGGCATAGGTGTGACTAGAGACACACACAGAGGCCAACAAACAGACTCTCCACAGAATACTCTGGAACTTCAGTCCTCCAGTCAGTCACCACTTCTCCCATGAAGGAATAAAAGACAGGCAGGCCTATCACTTGCTGAAAGGTAACATTACCTACCCGAGCAAACCCTGACCCAGTTTACTTCAGGGCCTTACCTGGCTGTCTCCTTCCACTCGGCATCTTCTCCCTCTTTCATACAGATCTCATCCAGCTCCGTGAACAGCTCATGAGGCACGTGCTCTTCATCGTCCTCAGTGCCAAGAATGAACTGAACACGCTGAGATGGTGTGTCTGGAAAACCAACCACAGAGAAAGACCTGCTCCCAGCCTCAGCTTAGAACAGAAATAGAATTCTGCCATACTTAGCATATCTGGGGGCCTTAAAACTTCAGAAGTATAGAGAAGGTAATCCTGAATGCAGATTTTTAAAAAATCTCTTTAGTCCTGGATACTTTAAAAAAAAAATCCCTTTTGTGAAAGTAGTGTTATGGAAGGAAAAAAATTATTAACTAAGACCTCTTGAAGAAAACCCACAAGAAACTGGAAATCTGATGAATCTGATCAAAAGGAATTATTAATTCTCTAGCAAATGATTTCACCTAGTATGGTATTGATTTGGGGGGCATGAACTGTATAGTTTTCAGGAAGATACTTTTGATTCTTAGAAGCATTTCTTCTTCTTGGAAGCAAGTTCTGAAAACTCTACAGAAGGGCTAAAGAATCAAGACCACCTGCTTAATGTCCATCACACTTTCCCTCAGCCTCACCAAGCCTCCGAGCCATGGACACCCACCTTCTCTTCCAGGGGTGATACCGTGGGCCAGGGCCTCCGGGCCTTCTTCCCCTTGGCTGGCTCCTTTGCCCCGGCCTCGTCTCCGGTGCTTCTGGCCATGGGTTCGGTGATGCCGATGGCTTTGCCGGCCCAGTGGCATCCGAACCCCCACATACAGAGTTCTATGACCTGAAAAGAAGCAGAAGGTCTGTAGAGAAAACCTTAAGTGAAAGGAGTCTAGCATATTTAAGAGGGGGGAAAAGATTATAGTTCTTTGGCCTGGTCACAACCCTGTAATGATAAAACTTCAAAGATTTCCAGAACTAAGGATACAGAGATCTTAGAAGTTGGAGGTCTTCTTTGCTTGCACGTAACTGCAAACCTTACAGGAGTGCTGTTAAGATCAAAGGAAACAATGTGCATGGACATTAAAGGCCAATACAATTGCTAGTTGTTATTACAACAACGATCTTATCAATTGTAAAAAAAACAATACAGCCACGCTACACAACTGCAACCAGTCTTGGCAGGAGGCAGCTTAGGAAAGTGGTTAAGTGTCCAGCTCAACCTGCCTGGGTCCAAAACTTGACCTCATCATTCACTAGCCTTGTGACCTTGAACACGTTTCTAATCTCTTTGTGTTAAAAAGGAATACTATAATTAATTATATAAAATATATATATATAAAAAAAAGGAATAGTATGCCCTGGCCAGTCGGGCTCAGCGGTAGAAGTGTCGGCCTGCGGACCAGAGAGTCCTGGGTTCAGTTTCCACTAAGGGCATGTACTTCAGTTGCGGTTCGTCCCCGGCCCTGGTTGGGGTCATGCAGGTGGCAACCAGTCGATGTCTCTCTCTCACATTGATGTTTCTCTCTCTTTCTTCCCCCCTCTCTCCCTCCAGCTGTATCTGAAGATAAATGCAAAACAAACAAACAAAAAAATGTCCTCGGGTGAGCATAAAAAAAAAAAAAGAGTACTGAAAGTTTATTATTTAAACTCAGAGGGGTTTTGTGAGCAGTATATCAGATAATATAGAGTGGGGTACTTCTGATCAAGACAGCAACATAGGTAAATGCGGTATTACCTCCTCCCACAACCACGTCAAAATCACAACTAAACCAAAGCACAACCATCATTCAGAACTGCCTGAAATCGAGCTGAATGGAAGTCCTACAACTATGAAATTAAAGAAGCAGCCATAACCCTGGCCGGTTTGGCTCGGCGGTTAGAGCGTCGGCCCAAGGACCAGAGAGTCTCGGATTCGGTTCCTGCTAAGGGCACATACCTTGGTTGCAGTTCATCCCCAGCCCCGGTTGGGGTCATGTGGGTGGCAACCAGTCGATGTGTCTTGCTTACATCCATGTTTCTCTCTCATCCTCCCTCTCCTTCTCCCACTATATCTGAATATAAATGCAAAAATGTCCTTGGGTGAGGATTAAAAAAATATTAAAAAAATAAAGCAGCAGCAGCCACATGGTGACTGGTAGGAGAGGTGGGGCAGAGGCACGAATGGGCTGGTCCCACAGCCACGTGTGGCAGATCAAAATCAGGGAGACACCTCCACTGTGAACGTCCTCCCTGAGGAGTGAGGGGGTCCCTGTCCCATACCAGGTGCCCAGCTCACAGTTCCAGTGCCAGGAAGAGAAGTCCCCATAACTTCTGGCTTGAAAAACCAGTTGGAACTGAGGTTGAGGGAGACTGAGGCTTCTAGAGCCCCAGGCAGCTCCTCTTAAAGGGCCCGCACATGAACATACTCGGACTTGCTCCCTCTAAGCTCGGCAGGAAGGCAGATTGAAATTCACCTGAGACATACAGGGAAGAACTGAACTGTTTGGCCTCGGGACAAGGGCTGGAGAGGCAGCTTTCTCTCAGACAGATGTGCTGGTGGAGGCCTTAGTTCCTTTGGTGAACCTCTCCCCGGGGTGGAAGACAGATGCCATATCTGGGACTCCAGCAACCTGGCTTACACTGTTTTCCCCACCCTGGTGATTCCCTGAGGCCCTGTCCCACCCAACTTTTGGGCCCACCCAAGCTGTTTCAAAAGGCTTTACCATAGGATTGGCCTGCTTTGGATCCTGCTTCAGAGTTTCCTGAAATCTCTAAAAAAAGCAGCATCTGGTCTCGGCAAGCTCCATATCTCTCGTTAAGTAGCCCCAGGTCTGGCAATAGAAGCAGCCAGCCTTGGTTCACAACTTGGCTTTTCCTGGGCACCTCCAAGCCCAACACTAGAAGCAACCATTGGCAGATCACTTTGTAGCTTAAGCCTGGCGGCTCCAGATAGAACACAGGCAGAGGCTGACCTTGTCCCAGAGTCAGCACACCCAGTGGACAGCTTCAAACCACATCGAAGCACCACCACCCAACCACCTCCACAAGTGACAGCCTCAATGAGTGGACTCAGTGGATACCAGAGCCTTGATGAAGTAAGTCTTGCTCTGTGTGGTGGGCCTCTACATGCTGATACTTCAAGGTAGTCAGAGGCCAGTGGGCAGTGGGCAGAGCCAGTCCTTGCAGCTGATCAGCCTGAGTAGATCCCTCCCATTGATGTGCCAATAGCAATTAAGACTCAATTACAACAGAAGGGTATACTGTCCACACTAAAGCTGCACCTCGAGGCCCAGGTGAAGTGATCAGGAAGGCTGTGCTACTGGATCCTACAGGACACCTACAACAATAGGCCACTCTACAAAGCCTAGGAGACATAGCAACTCTACTTAATACATAAAAACAATCACAGGGAAGCAGCCAAAATGAGGCAAGGCAAATAAACATGTCCCAAATGAAAGAAAAAAACAAAACTCCAGGAAAAGAACTAAACAAAATGGAGATAAACAATCAATCAGATGCAGAGTTCAAAATACTGGGTATAAGGTTGCTCAAGGAACTTGGCGAGATATTCAAAGAACTTCAAGGACCTTAAGGAGACCTCCAAAAAACTTGGTGAGAACATCAACAACATAAAAAAGGAACAGTCAGAAATGAGGGATGCACTAACTGAAATAAAAAATAATTTACAGGGAATCAATAGTAGAGTAGGTAAAGCCAAGAAACAAACCATTGTTTTGGAATATAAGGAAGCAAAAAGCACCCAATTAGATCAGCAAAAAGAAAAAAGAATCCAAAAAAATGAGGATAGTGTAAGGAGCCTCTGGGACAACTTCAAGTGTGCCAACATTTGCATCATGGAGGTGCCAGAAGGAGAAGAGAGAGAGCAAGAAATTGAAAACCTATTTGAAAAAATAATGACAGAAAACTTTCCTAACTTGGTGAAAAAAAACAGACATACAAGTCCAGGAAGCACAGAGAGTCCCAAACAAGATGAACCCAAAGAGGTCCACACTAAGACACATCACCATCAAAATACCAAAGGTTAAAGACAAAGAGAGAATCTTAAAAACAGCAAGAGAAAAGCAGTTCATTACCTACAAAAAAGCTTTCATAATACTGTCGGTTGATTTCTCAAAAGAAACTTTGCAGGCCAGAAAGGAGTGGCAAGAGATATTCAAGGTGATGAAAAGCAATGACCTATAACCAAGATTACTCTATCCTGCAAAACTATCATTTAGAATTGATGGGCATATCAAGAGTTTCTCAGACAAGAAAAAGCTAAAGAGTTCATCACCACCAAATCAGTACTATATGAAATGTTGAAGAATCTTCTTGAAGGAGAAGAACAAAAATATGAACAATAAAATGGCAATTAATACATATCTTTCAACAATCGAATCTACAAACAAAATGAACAAGCAGAACAGAAACAGACTTGTAGGTACAGAGGAGTTTTTGTTGCTTGCCAGATGGGTGGGGGATTGAGGGTGGTGGTGAAAAAGATGAAGGAATTAAGAAGTACAAATTGGTTGTTAGATTGATGAACCTCAAATGGAAGTGGGGATGGAGGGTGGGATGAGATAAACCAAAGAACTTCTATACATATATGCATAACCAATGGACACCGACAATAGGGTAGGGAAGGCAGGAGGAGGGCTGGATTGGGGAGGAGGGGTCAATGGGGAAAAATGGAGGGACATCTGTAATATATTTAACAATAAAGATGAGTTAAAAAACAAATAAAACATTTAAAAAATAATGTCTAAAATGCTTAACACAATGCTGGAATAAATTTTAGCAGCCAGTATATTCTAGGATCAGTTTCCACCATCTTTTTTTCTTCTGTACTGTTGAATGCACAGTGTAGACTAGCATGAGAGACTAGTTACAAATCAGAAGGAGTATAGGGTTGGGGTCATATGGGGATATATTAAATAATTCTACAAAAAGAGGGGAACATGAAAAAATGATCCAATAGCATTTCTCTCTAGTTCCTCCTTTCCTTGCTCCCTCATTCCTTCCATAAACCTTATTTTGTTCTGTTCATGACTTACAGGTCTCTCTCACCTCCATCTGGCTTCACTTGCCTTCCTGCCTAGCCAGAAGCTTCCAGGAGGATACGCCCACCCCCAACACACAGAGCTTTGGTTTACCCCACTCTGCCCAGTTACTGCTGATCTGCACTCTAGATCTCAGGCTGACTCCCAACATCTTCCATCACAAAAGCTGTTCCAGTCTTTAGTCACTGTCTTCAAATTCACAGCCTTCTCCACGTTTTCTCCCCCTGAGCAGGTGACCTCGCTTCACATTTTAACAAGAAGACTCAGGCCCTCTCACATAAGCTCCTCCACCTTAGCCTGGCTCACTTTCCTCCCCGAGTTTCTCCTCTTTGCCAGGCTAACAAGCATCTCTTCCCACCCCTCTGGAATTCTCCATCAATTATACCCGACTCTCCTTTCCCTCCACAAGTTTCTCCTGACTACATACACACGCACGTCTTTCTTATCTTAAAAAGAAACTTTCCCAATGCAGTGCTACTCTCCCACGTTTCTGACTGGCTTCTTCCCTTCTCCATCAAACCACTTACAAGAATGGTCTGCCAACCTAGCTCCCTTTCCTCACCGATTCCTTGTTCCTTTACTGCATACGACCATTCTCCACTGAAACTGCCCTCCTTAGATACACCCCAAAGACCACCAAATCTCTATCATCTTATGTCTCTCTCACTTCAATTAAAAGACTTTGTTGAGAGCCCACCATGTTGCAGACAGTATCCAAATCCCTTGACCACTTCCTCCCCTTGGTGGTCTGAGCTCCCTCACTCACTTGCCTGCCCTGCCGCCCTCCCTCACTCACTTGCAC